AACAAATCAAACAAACACAAAACTTAACAGAACCTTACACCTAGTCCAAGATCTTTGCTTCATTAACTGCTGTCTCTTTACGTCCTTAGGCTATCCTCTGTCACTGCTGACCACACCACTCACTTTTCAGTATTAATTTTTTTTTTTAGTTTTTCTTCTTTTATTTTTTTCCTTTTTTATTAATTACAGTTTATTCCCTTTGTTTCCCAGCTACAGCCCTCTCCCTGATTCTCTACCAATCACAGTCTCCTTCCTTCATCTCCTCCCATTCCTCTCTCCAAGTCTACTGATAGGGGAGGTTCCTCTTCTCTTTTATCTAACCCTAGCTTATGAGATCTCATCGGTACTGGCTGTACTGTCCTCCTCTGTGTCCTGGCAAGGCTGTTACCCACTCAGGAGGAGGTGGTCAAAGAGCCAGCCACTGAGTTCATGTCAGAGACAGTTCTTGTTTCCCTTACCTGGAACCCACTTGGATACTGAGCTGCCATTGGCTACATCTGAGCAGGGCTTCTAGATTATAGCCACGAATGGTCCTTGGTTGGAGTATCAGTCTCAAAAAGATCCCTGTGGTCAGATATTTTGGTTTTGTTGCTCTCCTTGTGGTGCTTCCCTCCTCTCTGGGTCTTACTATCTCCCCCTTCTTTCATAATATTCCCTGCACTCTGCCCAAAGTTTGGTTATGAGTGTCAGCATCTGCTTTGCTACACTGCTGGGTAGTGTCTTTCAGAGGTCCTCTGTGGTAGGCTCCTGCCTGTTTCCTGTTTTTTCCTTCTTCCAATGTCCTTCCAGTTTGTCTTTCTGAGTGAAGATTGATCATCATACCCAGGGTCCTCCTTCAGGCTTTTCTTCTTTAGACGTACAGAATTTTGTAGGATTTTCCCATATTATATGTCTAGTATGCACTTTTAGTGAGCAGGCAAATTGTGGGATCTAAAAAACATTATCCTGAGTGACATATCCCAGAAGCAGAAAGACATACACTGTATATACTCAGTCCTAAATCTTAAGGACATGATTGTCTTAATACTCATGGATGTCCACTCCCAAGGCAGTTTGTCTTCACATAGATGGATGCTGATACTCAAAAATCCTAACAACTGACCTCACCTGTCCTTCCACAGGAATTCAGAGACAGTCCCCATCCTTTTGGCCAAGCATTACTGTGGACTTGGCCTTCCTTCTCCCTTTTCCTCCCACCTGCTTCAGTATATAGATAACCTCATTCTTTACAGTCCTTCTCTCTCTAATATTCAATCTGATCTCAATCCTCAATTTTCTCTTTTCCAGAGGTTACTGGCTCTCACCTTCCAAAGCACAACACTCCTCTCCTCAAGTCACCTTTCTCTTATTTTCTCTCATACCATCCATAGACACGTCACTTTAAGAGAAACTTGCCCATCTCCACTCCCCATCTCTGCACTCTCAGCCAGCCCCTCCATCGTAGGTCACTACATACTCCTGATATATTCCCTATACCACGTTACTTCTGGTCTGCCACTTACCTCTGACCATGAACAATTCTTCAAGAATAAAACATTCTCTTTTCTGCTTCAGCCATCTGCATCCCAGATGTATAGAAACCTTTCTATCCTTAGACTTCCAGAATACACAAACACTGCTCTTTGCCCATCACATTTCTATTTATTTGCTGTTTCTTGTACTTTGTACATAATACTGAGTCTAGAATTTATTTCTTATACATCTTTTTCATAATTCACTAATATCAAACTTTCAATGTCCTTTATTTCTGTTATTGTTTACATTTTTATTCATGCTCAAAGACTTTCTCTTTGGATCGTAACATTCTCTGATGCTATGATCTATTGGTCTTTAAAAAAATATTGTTTGAGTTGGTTCCCTGTTAAGGGGAACAGGGAATGTTTCTGGCATCAGTTTGGTGGCTGGTTCTTTGATCATCTCATCCTGAGAGCAGAGCAACCTTACCAGGTCATAGAGGAACAGAATACAGCCAGTCCTGATGAGACATGATATACTAGGTTCACATGGAAGAAGAGGAGGACCTTCCCTATCAGTGGACTTGAAGAGGGGAATGCAAGGAGATGAGGGATGGAAGGTGGAATTGAGAGGGAATGAAAGAGGAGGCTACAGCTGGGATACAGAGTGAATAAACTGTAATTAATATTGAATTTTTTTAAAAATTATTTAAAAATATTCCTTGTTGTTCTGTTTCGGAAATTGTCTCCAGTGCCAATGAGTTCAATGCTTTTCCCCCAAAAGATTTAATGTGCCTGGTTTTATGTTGAGATCTTTCATACACTTGAACTTTAATTTTGTTCAGAGCAATATATATGTGTCTATTTGCATTTGTCTACATGTGGATTTCCAGTTAGAACAGCACCATTTGCTGAAGAAGCTATCTTTTTTCCATTGTATGGTTTTGGTATCTTTGTCAAAAAGCAGGTGTACATAGGTGTGTGGGTTTATTTATGGGTCTTCTGTTCGATTCCATTGATACACCAGTCTGTTTTTATGCCAGTATCATGTAATTTTTATTGCTGTTGTTTTTAGTACAGCTTGAGATCAGGTATGTAGATACCTTCAAGAGATCTTTTATTGTATGGGATTGTTTTAGTTATTCTGGGTTCCTTGTTCTTCCATATGAAGCTGAGAATTTTTTTTTTCAAGGTCTGTGAAGAACTTTGTTGGTATTTTGGTAAAATGTCATTTTACTTTGTTAATCCTGCCAAGCCATGAGCATGGGATATTTTTCTGTTTTCTGATATCTTCTATTTGCTTCTTCAGACACTTGACATTTTTTTTCATACAAGTCCATGTGGATCTCTGAGTGAGGGGAGCAGGGTATGCCTCTATCATAAATTCAGTTGTCTGCTCTCTGATCACTTACTCCTAATGATGCAGCCTTGCCAGGCCACGGAGGAAAAGTATCCAAGCAGTCCTGAGGAGACTTAACAAGCTATGGGCAGAAGGAAACAGAGGAGAACTCCCCCTTTCAGGGGACTAAGGGAAGGGTGTTAAGGGAAGATGGTGGGAATGACAGAGTTTACAAAGGGGCTTCAATCTGAATATGTAATGAATAAATTGTGAATAAATTTTTATAAAGATCTAAAAATTATTTCTTCATTTTAAAAGTGCTGTGCTCCACATGCCTTCCTGCATGAGAACATACAGCTTCCCACTCCTAATCCCACCTTCTCTCCCCCTTCTTCACCCACGCTCCTCCCAAAGTCCACTGATAGGAGAGGTCCCCCTTTCCTTCCTTCTGATCTTAGTCTATCAAATCTCGTCAGGAGTGGCTGCATTGTCATCTTCTGTGGCCTGGTAAGGCTTCTCCCCCCTCAGGGGGAGGTGATCAAAGAGCAGGCCAATCAGTTTGTGTCAGAGGCAATCCTTCTTTCCATTACTATGGAACCCACTTGGACACTGAACTGCCATGTGCTACATCTGTGCAGGGGTTCTAGGTTATCTCCATGCATGGTACTTGGTTATAGCATGAGTCTCTGGTAAGACTCCTGTGTTCAAATTTTCTGGTTCTGTTGCCCTTCTTGTGGAGTTCCTGTCCTCTCCAGATCTTACTATTTCCCATTTCTTTCATAAGATTCCATGCACTCTGCCCAACAGTTGGCCATAAGTCTCAGCATCTGCTTTGATAGTCTGCAGGGCAGAGCCTTTCAGAGGCCTTCTGTGGCAGGTTTCTAACTTGTTTCCTGTTTTCTTCTTCTTCTGATGCCCATCCTCTTTGCCTATTGGGATGGGGATTGAACATTTTAGTCAGAGTCCTCCCTCTTTATTAGTTTCTTTAGGTGTATAGCTTTTAGTAGGTTTATCCTATATTATATGTCTATATACCGTGTGTGTCTTTCTGCTTCTGGGACAGCTCACTCAGGATGATCCTTTCCAGATCCCACCATTTACCTGCAAATTTCATGATTCTCTTATTTTTCATTGATAAGTAATATTCCATTGTGTAGATGTACCACAATTTCTTTATCCATTTTCAGTTGAGGGGCACATCAAAGATATCATCCACTATGACCAAGTAGGCTTCATCCCAGGTATGCAGGGGTGGTTCAATATACGGAAGTCCATCAATGTTATCCACCATATTAACAAACTGAGAGATGTGCTTTTAAATCTAGTTACTGTGCAGGCAAGACCATCACAACCCGGTTTACATAGTGCTAATTTCTAAGTTACCCTAGAAGATGAATTTCTGGAATTAAACACTCTAGCCAAGGTTGTTCTACAGGGATGATTTTATGAGGAAATCTGGGTTGTTTAATTCTCCTTCCATCCTCTCACTTTAGAGCTCTTTTTTTAATTCCACAAAGTTGTGGGGGAAATACTTGTTAGTTTTTGCTAGGTTTACTTTTGTTGTGAGATTAAAGCTTCTCTGGTGACAGGATTAAATTGATATCTCTTAGAACTTTGACAGAATTTCTGGGCTTCTCTTTTTATCTGTGCCCCATGTGTAGCCTGGAAAAAGAAGCCCACATATCTGTGACCTTGTTCATTGTCCTCAGTATGAGTGGCTTTGTGGAGGGGAGACAATGAACAAATTTAGCCCCAGTTTCCTCTTTTGCAATTCTTTCCTCACCTCTGCCCTTACTTTCTTTTATTGCATGTTTTCCCATTCTATGTTTTTTTTTATTTGTGGTGGTGATTTCTTGCACACATCATCTCTCTAGGACTGTCAATCTGAGATAACTCTCCTAAAATTTCTGCAAAAGTCAACTGCTGTCTTGGATTTTAACCCAAAGGTGCTTTTCAAGCAACTTGTACATTTCTGCTTGAGAGCTATATACTGCTCACATTCTGTGATGCTCATGCTCTCTGTGATAGTATTTTTATATCTTGATTTTCTCCACCCACTTTCACACATGCTCATCCACACTGCCCAGACATGTGCTTTGTATTTGCTGACTGCTTTGCATGGGCTTCTCCGGCACAGCCCAGCTGCTCAGAATTTATAAACCAGCCCTTTTCCATGTGAACTGAGTAGCATCATATAGGCAGGGGGAGAAAGATGGAGTCATGGACCCACATCCTCATGTTGCTGCTGTTCTGGGTGTCTGGTGAGAAATTTAATTTATTATCGTTTCAGAGTCACATGTCTGTATGAAAGAAATTTAGAATGTGTACCAGAGTGTAGCTTTTCTTACATAATAATTTCTTTAGAATATGCTAAGGACATTTAAATACAAATTTCTTAATTTCTCTATTTTTAATTTTTCTTTCTCTCTTTCTCTCTCTCTCTCTTTTTTATTTTTTACACAGGGTTTCTCTGTGTAATTGACCCCTGGCTGTCTTTGATTCACTTTGTTGACTAGGCTGGCCTCAAACTCACAGACAACTGCCTGACTCTGAATCCTGAGTTCTGTATTAACTAACAAATTTCAATTGTCATTTCATAATCTGTGATTGTATGTATGCATTTTCAATATCTCCTCATTATTGCAGGTACCAGTGGAGATATCGTGATGACCCAGTCTCCATCTTCCCTGGCTGTGTCAGTAGGAGAGAAGGTCACCATCAGCTGCAGGTCCAGTCAGAGTCTTTTAAACACTGGAAATCAAAAGAACTACTTGTCCTGGTACCAGCAGAAACCAGGGCAATCCCCTAAGATGCTGATCTACTATGCATCCACCAGGCACACTGGGGTCCCCGATCGCTTCACAGGCAGTGGATCTGGGACAGATTTCACTCTCAGCATCAGCAGTGTGCAGGCTGAAGACCTGGCTGTTTATTACTGTATGCAGTATTACAGCTATCCTCCCACAGTGCTTCAGCCTCCAACACAAACCTCCTTGAGAGTCTCACCAGCTGTCTGCAGCACACACACTGACCTGACCCTGCATACTTCCCCCTTCTGCCTGAAAGTGGGTAGCTCTGAAAAAGCAATAAAAGAATTTGCAGAGCATAGTAAAAAATATGGGTTTAATGCCTCATATTTTTTTTTGTATGAAAAAGCTTTATATGAAAATGCAACACCTGCTGGAACAGAGTCTGAGAAAGGGGAACCTTCCTTCATTGCTGTTAGGAATGGAAACATGTACAACCTCTCTGTAAATCAGTCTAGTGCTTTCTCAGAAAATTAAGAATAGTGTTACCTCAAGATCTAGCTATGCTACTCCTGGGCGTATATCCAAAATATGCTCAATAATACAGCAAGGACATTTGCTCAACTATGTTCATAGCAGGTTTATCTGTAATAGCCAGAATCTAGAAAAGACTGAGGAATGGATACAGAAATGGTACATTTACACATTGGAATACTACTCAGCAATTAAAAACAAGAAAATCATGAATTTTGCAGGCAAATGAATGGAACTAGACAAGATCATCTTGAGTGAGGTAACTAAGTGAAGGATGAAGCTCACATCTGCAGCTTCCCCTTGCATGAGGAGGTCTTGATGGCTCAAATCTTATGCAAGTATCTACCCTGGCAATTTGTTCACGAGTACAAGGGCATGTCATTCCCAAAAGGCACTGTCTCACAGCACTCCTTCACAATTCTGGTCCTTATGTTCATTTTGCCTCTTCTTCTATGAAGTCCTCGATTTGTGGGGAGGGAGACATCCCATTTAGGTATGAGCATCCCACAGTTACTTATTCTCAGTAGTTTGACCAGTTGTGAAACTCTGCTTTACCCAATGTCTACAGACAAAATAAGCTTCTAGAATAAATGCTAATAATAGCACACTTCTTTGAAGATACATATAAGGATTACAGAGCATTTGATGCCATGCCCATTCGAAAAACAGCAATGGTAGGTTATGTCTTAGGCCTTATGACCTCCACAGCCATGGTATCTTATAATTTTAAATTTAATTCATTTTTATTTATTCAGTTTACATCCCATCCAAAGCCCCTTCCCTGCTCTCCAGCTTATCCCACCCTTCCTCCCTCTTTCCCCTATCTCCCTTCCCTTACTCCTTAGAGAAGAAGAGCACCTCCTATCCACTACCCCCAGCATATCAAGTTGCATCTGGACTGAGCATATCCTCATCACTTTTGTCCCAGAGAGCTAGCCCTGACATGGGAAAATGGCAACAGAGGCCATGTCAGAGTCATCCCATATTTCCCTCACTAGGGAACCCATATGAGGACTAAGCCTCCTTTTGACTTCATCTGTGCAGGGGAGCAAATTCCAGACCATGCAAGGCCCTTGGTTGGTGCTTCATTCTGCAGAGACCATCTTTGTACCTGGTTAGTTGGATCTCTTTCTCTTCTTGTGGAGTTCTTTTCCCCTCTTGGTCCTTTTTTTCTTAATGCACTATTCCACAAGACTCCCTGCACTCCACCCAATGTTTACTTGTGGGTCTCTGCATCTCTTTCCAGAAGGAGCTGGGTGGAGCGACTCAAGAGGATAGCTATGCTAGGCTTCTGTCTACAAGTATAACAGCATTTCTTTAATAGTGTCAGGGGTTGGCTGTCTGCTGTGGGGTAAATCTCAGATAGGGGCAGTTGTTGTTTGGACATAATGCCATCTCTGCTTTTTTTTCCCCCTACATATCTTGTATGCAGGGTCAATTTTTTGTAGAAGTTTTGTACTGGGTTGGTGTTTCCCACTCACAGCTAGGAGTCTTGTTTAGTTAGAAGGTGGCTTCTTTAGTCTCCATGACACCTATTGCCTGGAATCTTAGCAGGAGTCACCCTTATATCATCCCAGGAGCCTAACCTGTCATAGGTCTCCAGCTTATCACAGAGATGCCTCTGCTCAAGGTTTCTGTTCTCTCTGCAAGCCTTCTATTCCTCCTGCTTCTGCCCTCCCCACATCTGATCCCAACCCTCATTACTCTCCTTGCTCCCTTTTTTACCCTGTTCCCTCTCGCCAACCATGTCTGCTACCTATTCTATTTCTCCTTCTTAATGAGATTTAAGCATCCTCTTTAGGACCCTCCTTGCTACATATCTTCTTTATGTCTGTGAACTGTAGTATGTTTATCCTGTACAATACGATAAAAAACATTTAAACGTGAGTATATACTATGTGTGTCTTTCCGGGTCTTGGTTATCAGAAGTTAGAATTATCTTTTGTAGTTCCATCCATTTACCTTCAAATTTCATGGTTTACTTGTCTTTAATAGCTGAGTAGTATTCCATTGTGTAAATGTACCACAGTTTCGTTATTCATTATTCCACTGGGGGACATCTGGGCTGTTTCCAGTTTTTGGGTATTCTGAATGAAGCAACTATGAACATAGTTGAGCAAATGTTCTTATTCTATAGTGGAGCATCATTTCAGTATATTGCCCAGTGGCACAATTGGGTCTTGAAATACAACTATTCTCAGTTGTTTTGAGAAAGTTCCAGATTGATTTCCAAAGTAGTCGAACAATTTTAAACACCCACCAGCAATGGTGGAGTGTTCCCCTTTCTCCATTTCCTCACAAGTATGTGCTGTCACTTGTGTTTTTTTATCTTAGCCATTCTGGTGGGTATAAGATAAAATCTCAGAGTCATTTTGACTTGCATTTCCCTGAGGACTAAGGACATTGAACATTTTTAAGTGCTTCTTGTCATTTTTATATTCTTCTCTTGGGAATTCTCTATTGAGCTTTGGACCCCATATCTGTGATTCTTTTGCCTGCTCTTAGGACACTTATACTGGGTTGCTTTCTCCAGTCTTCATATGGCAGTTTGTGCATAGTCTTATTGTAACTTGTTATGCAGTATTTTGGTGGTATTCCTGGGAAGCCAGCAATTTACTGAAGGAAATGGAAGAGGGGCAGATTGAGGCAGAGGGGAAGTAGATTAAAATTATTTAATCTATAAGGATTTATATATAAAAGCTGATCTGCTAGAAATCTAGGTGGGCTGCCAGCTGACCTTCTCTTCTCTGTTTACCCATACCAGATTCCAAATATTATTCCCAGTACTGCAACATAATACCAGCTAAAGCCTCCCGTTCCCCTGCCACTACTCCTATAGGATCCACAAAGTATTCTTTCCCAATCCTCACTATTGCTTAGTGTTAAACCCCAACTTTATTAGGCACCACCCCTGCTAACCCAAGAGCTACTCCTTCCAGATCATTAAGTAGGATGAAGTCAGACCCACACTTCTCCTATTGCCCCTGTCATTCCATCCCCACAGTTTTGCCCCAAAGTCTGAAGCTGAGGACATGGTTGACCCTTTGATCTGATACCCAAGAATTACAAACCTCTTTTTTCCAAACTCCCAAATAATCCAAGTTACACAGCCTCCAACACCCACAGGCATTCCCTGTGAACATACCATTGGAACAGGTCAGGAGAACAGGTATCACACTGCCAAGATACTCTTTGAAAATCCAGATATGACACAGAAACCAAAGAACAAAATACCATTTCAACAAAGACAAGTCCAGAAATCAGCACCTATTCTTTTAATCACCCCACATGCAGACACCAAGACGCCAGTGTAAAAACACAATCCATGACAGCCAGGACAGTATGACTCCACTAGAGCTCAACTATCCTACGAGAACAGGTCCTGAATATCCCATCATAGCTGAAACATAGCATAATAACCTTAAACGAGCTTTTTATAAATATAATAAAATTCCTTAAGAAGTATCTGGATACATTTGTCAAAAAAAATTGAGGAAGACACAAACATTTTTAAGGAAATGAATAAAACAGTTCCAGACCTGAAATTAGAAATAGAATCAACAAAACCCTGAATATTTGGAATTCTGGAAATGAAAAATTTAGAAATTAAATATGGAAACAATTTCTAAATAATGTTCCCAGTGCTGAAATATAATACCAGCTCGAGCCTCCTCTTCCCTTGCCACTACTCCTATAGAGACCACAAGCTATGCTCTCCTACTCCTCACTTTTATTTTGCTTCATGAGCAGAATATAAGAGATCAAAGACAGAATCTTAGGAGTTGAAAATATGAGAGAAGAAATAGATACAGTGGTAAAGAAAAATGTTAAATATATAAGATTACTAATATGAAATATCTATGAAATCCAGGTCACTTTGAAAAGATCAAACCTAAGAAAAATAGTTATAAAGGAAAAAGAAGAAACATCTCAAAGGTGGAGTAAATGTTTTCAACAATGTCGTAGAAGAAAATTTTTGTATTCCAAAGAAGGAGATGCTATGAAGGGACAAGAAGCATACAGAACATCAAATTCACTTGACAAAGAAAAAAAGTTCCCTCTGCACATCATAATGAACACATTAAGCATACAGAATGAGGAAAGAATATTAAAAACTAGGCATATATGCTACAGAATCTAAGAGACAAGAGATGCCAGGCCAGACCACTATACACAGCAAAACTTTTAATCACCATAGATTGAGAAAATAAAACAGTCCAAGATGAAGACAAATTAAATGATATCTATATACAAATCCAACCCTGCAGAATGTTTGTAATGGAAAACTACAAACTACAGATACTAACTATACCCTTGAAAATACAGGATATACACAATCTCACATGAGCCCAGACTCTACACAGCAATATATGTGTGTGTGTGTGTTTGTGCGTGTGTGTATTTCTAGATAGTAGATTTTTTAATATCTAACAAATTAGACTTCAAACCAACTCTAATCATTAGAGATGGGACGTATACTATACTACATACTTATCAATGTACAAACCCACTAAAATATCATTCCAATATTAAATTCTATGCCTCAAACACGAGGCCACCCAACTTTGTAAAATAAATGCTACTACAGCTTAAATCACATATTGACCTTCATACATTGGTAGCAGTAGAGTTTAACACCTACTCTTTTTTTTCCTTTCCTTTTTTTTTAATTTTATTTTTCTTTTTAGTTACATTTTGTTAACTCTGTGTCCCAGCTGTATCCCCCTCCCTCATTCCCTCCCCAACCCCACACTCCCTCCTTGGTCTCCTCCCTGCCCCTTTCCAAGTCCACTGATAGGGGAGGACCTCCTCCCCTTTCATTTGACCCTGTTTTATCAGGTATCTTCAGGGCTGGCTGCAAAGTCCTCCTCTGTGGCCTAACAGACTGCTCCTCCCCTGGGGGAGGGGGTCAAACAGCCTGCCCTTGAGATCCTGTTAGAAATAGTCCGTGTTCCCCTTACTTTGGAAAACTACTTGGTTACTGAGCTACCAAGGGCCACATCTGAGCAGAAGTTCTAGGTTATATCCATAGATGGTCCTTGGTTGAGTGTCAGTCTCAGAAAATACTCTGTGCCCAGATATATTTGGTCCTTGTAGAGCTCCTATCCTTTCAATATCATACTAACTTCCCTTCTTTCATATGATTCCCTGCACTCTGCTGAGGGTTTGGTTATGAGTCTTAGTGTCTGCTTTGAAACACTGATAGGTAGAGTCTTTCATATGCCTTTTGTGGTCGACTCCTGTCATACGTTCAATGCACATCCCATTTGTCTTTCTAAATGAGGATTGATCATCATACCCCATGTCTACTTTCTAAATTATCTTCTTTAGGTGTATAGATTTCATTATGTTTATCATATCTTGTAGGTCTATATAAGTGAGCATATACCATGTTTGTCTTTCTCCTTCTGGGATACTTCACTCAGAATGATCTTTTCTAGATCCCACCATTTGCCTGCAAATTTCATGATTTCCTCCTTTTTGATTGCTGAGTAGTATTCCATTGTAACACCTACTCTTACCATATGATGTGTCATTGAAGCAAAAAGGATCTCCTGTAGGAGATCTCCTCAACCAGGATGTGTAAATACCCAGGGAAAGATGGCAGTAAAGGCTTCTTTCACACCATGCCAGAATTTTGATAGAGTAATATCAACATTTCAAAACAAGGGGTGTCAGTTAGAGGAAGAAATGCTAGAGGTACAATCTCTGCCTCAGATTTACCTCTAGTGTAGACCTTGAAACACAAACAAAGAAAAAATAGGTTGTCTTTAAGAAAGCTCAGTTGTCTCCTGAATCCCTTTCCCTGAACACCTCCTGACAGCAAAGAAGAAATAGCAGGAAAGGAAAGGCAAATTGAAAGTTATTGCAAAATACATGATACATTGGGAATACATGCATTTCATGAAAATCGTGTTCATTGAAATAACACTTATAAAAGACTATAAGGGGCAGCAACATATCTCATATGGAAAAGACACTTTCCACTAATCCTGGTGTCAAACCTGAGTTTGAGCCCTACAAACAAAATGGAAATAGAGTCAGGTCTAAATTGTCCTCTGACTTCCACAAATATGCCATGTGATATGTTCATCGATCAATATGCACACACAGACACACTAGTGCACACTCACATGCATGTAGATAAACGTCATTAACTAAAAAGTAATAAAATTTAATATAATTTATGGAAAGTAAAAAATAAGCAGCAGATATGGGAGCCAAGAAGGAAGGAAGAAAGAAGGAAGGAAGGAAAGAAAATACTATACAATCTAGAAAAAAAACAAAAAACATAATCTTTCCTACAGCCCCCAAATTTAAATAAACTTTTCTATCATCATCACCTCAGCCCAAAGTGTACTATGTTGGATATGAGAACTCCAACATTGTAAAAAGTTTAGTCTCTTATGTTCAAGTGTTTGTGTTACAGAAGGAATAGAAAGATAATACTAAGTTATTATTTGCATTTTCACATAAAGGTTTTTCATACCAAAAGACATAATCCATTATTTTGAAAGTTGAAATGATTATTTTGTAAGGGCATCTGCAAACTTTCTCATCACTTTTTCAGGCACAGCTGCTATCATGCAGAAGGGGGAAGTGTGCAGGCCCAGGGCTGTGTGTGGTGCAGGCAGCTGGTGAGACTCTCAAGGAGGTTTGTGTTGGAGGCTGAAGCACTGTGGGAGGAGTACTTATACCCTGCTGACAGTAATAAACTGCCAGGTCTTCATCCTGCACACTGCTGATGGTGAGAGTGAAATCTGTCCCAGATCCACTGCCTGTGAAGCGATCAGGGACCCCAGTGTGCCGAGTGGATGCGTAGTAGATCAGCATCTTAGGGGATTGCCCTGGTTTCTGCTGGTACCAGGACAGCAAGTTCTTTTGGTTGCCACTGTATAAAAGATTCTGACTGGACCTGCAGCTGATGGTGATTTTCTCTCCTGCTGAAACAGCCAGGGAGGATGGAGACTGGGTCATCACGATGTCTGCACAGGCACCTGAAAACAGGAACACACAATGAACATGCACATGACACAAACACAAAGTATAAAAACAGTTGAAATTTGCCATTTAATATCTTTGTACTATCATGTTATAAGTATATAATTATATGAGAAATATTGAGCCTGGCACAGTCTAAATTTCTTATCTACGAAGAAGTGACTCTGGAAAGATATTTTGAGTTTCTCACCAGACACCCAAAGTAGCAGGGATATGAGGACCTGGGTCTGTGACTTCATCTTGCTCCCCCTGCTGTCTGGTGCAGTTCAGTTCTTGCTGCAAAGGCCTGGTTTATGAATTCTCAGCAGCTGGGCTGGGCTGTAGGAGGCCCATGCAAAGCAGTCAGCAAATACAAAAGCAAATGCCTGTGCAATGTCTGTGAGTGTAGCTGGTGTCAATCAACAGTCAAAAATAGTATCACAGAATGAGCAAACACTGAAAAAGATTGCCTTACAGCTCTCAAACAGAAAACTAATAGGTGCTCTAACAGTAGACCTGGGTTAAAATCCAAGACATATTCAAATTAATTGACTCCTGTATGAACATTAGTGGAGCTATCTCAGACTGACATTCTTAGGAAAATGATAGGATAGTTTCAAAAAAATCACAACAACAACAAAAGAAATAAAGTAAGAAAGCATGCCATAAAAGAAAGAAAATAAAGAGGAAAAAACGATGAAAGGACAAAAGAAAATTGAAACTAAATGTGTTCAGTATTATTCATCTGCAAAGTCACTCTTATACTGAAGAAAGAGAGCAGGGCCTCAGACATTTGGGCTCTATTTTCTTAGATAAACAAAGGACTAAAGTGCAAAGAACTGGCCAGAATTCACTCTATGGAAATCCTGGCTGACATTAATTTCATTCTGAGATCAAAAAATCTTTAATCTCAAAGCAAAAGGAAACCCAGCAATTACTATAATTATCCTCCCCACAACTTCATGAAATTGAAAGAGGGATCTTAATCTGGAGAAAGTAAAGGGGAAAAACAGATTTTTGATGAAGACTTCTGTAGACCAACGCTGCCATGAGTTTTATTCAAGAAATACAAATGTTAGTGAAATTTAGAAATCAGCAGTATTGAAACTGGATTAAGATGCTCTTCTGATATTATGAACAGGTAAGTCTCTCCAGAAGGGAGCACAGCTATGCTAATCTATATAATGATTTTAAAGACTACAATTGAGGACTACATCAGAGAGTGTTGCCATCAAACAGTGAATAAAATATTAGGCTATGAATGAAAAATCAATAGCAATGAGAGCAATCACAGAAGCAGCCAGAACTTCATATTTTTGAAATCTGAAAGTATATATAAGAAATAAATTATAAAGCCAGAATTATGTGTAAAATATTAAGAGAAAAATAAATAAATCAAATATCATGGCAAGGAGTAGAGTTTCACATCTGTAATCACAGAAATGGAGAGACAATAGTAGGAGACGCACGAGTTTGAGGCCAACCTGGGGTACATACCAACTTCTGCGCCATCTAATCTATACTTGGAAACAATATTTTAAAAATGTGAATCATTAATCAACTGGTTACAGGAGGCTCGTACCATTCTCTAAACAACATAAATTTTTTATCTGATGTCAATATTTCACCATTAAGCCACAAATATTATTGAAAAATAAATATTCATTTATCCAATGTGCAAATCCTTCTATTTTGAATTACATATATAATTTTATAATCCACTTCTTAGGTATAAACAGTTAAATAATTTCTGATAAGCACATGCAGATCTCCTCTGTAAACCACTAACAGAACATCATAGAGAGTGCTAGACCTTATGCAGATACAGGAAGTTCTTAATCCAAGTTCTAGACTATGACAGACAAGGAGCTCTGCTCCTGTTCATGTCTAACAAGTTGTCATATGCCTTTGATCTTCACTAAACTTTACACTTTTCCTTGTGACAGCAGCATTGAGCTCAGTCTGTGCTCTCATGATGTTTACAGCTGCTCCTTCAGATTGGACAAATGGAGACAGGGATCTTACAAATCCAAAGATTCCATGGGTTTCTCAAAGTAGGCATTGGGAGAGTATGGGGTCTAAAGAGATAAAAATTTCAAATTATATTATACATAATATAAAGAGCCTAATGGTCTTCAGTCACTTACCAAATTTCCACAGTATGTCCTGGTCTATTAGATTATGTTGGAATTGATTAAAAATGGACTGTAACCCTGCTAACTGAACACAATACTGATTAATATGCCTCCACCATTGTAATCAGGAAGTCTGAAGCTGATGTCCTTCAGGCCCTTGGACATAGCACCCTCTTCCATGGACACCACTGTGTATGGAGGACCAGGGAATATCAGTCTGAAATGCAAATTATAGTGAAATATTACAAGGCTGAACTCAGCTTTTCTCTTCCAGCACTTAGAATCTTTTATTCTCTGGATGAGTGGCTATGTTTACTCAATATATGTGACTAGAAAGAATAGACATAGAAAGATTTCCAATAACTCAGATAAAATATTGACATAGTATTCTTAGTTAAAATCAGCAGCATGGCACCTTGGGATATAGAAGTTTATTACTGCAGTCAAGATACAAGAGGTTCTTATACAGAGTGACAGGCATGGACAAAACCTGTTCTGCTTTAGGAGTCTAGAGCCACACGTACTGCTTCTCTCAGGAGAGTCTGCACAGATTCTCTGAGTCAGTAGGAGAGAATGAGGTTACAGAACTCAAAGCAACCTATCAATGCTGAGTGTTCTTTAACACTTGTCTTTAGATGTACTGAAGATAAACCCATTAGGACCCTTTATGTTCAACAGCTGTGGATGGCATACTGGTAGACAAATAGAGATGGTGTGAGGGTCTTATTTTAACATTTTAAAGTCTATGACTATTTTGGCTGGATACATGTCTGTGTACAATGAATGAAGCTGGTGCCTGCAGAAGCTAGATGAGGATATCAGATCCCTGGGAAATGCAGTTATGGATCTTTGACACCTACCATGTCTGCTGGGAATTGAATCTAGATCCTCTGAATAGCATCCAAGGCTCATAAACAATTTGACATATATCTAACCCAACAACTGCCCTATGAGTAAATAGACATGATTGAGAAAAAGGAAGATCCATGAAAACATAAAGGCCTATGTTCTGCTGAAGCCTCTGACTAAAAAAAGAAGGATAGTGGAAAGAGGAGGATGCGTAAACGACTCCTAAAGGCTCCTTCTGCCTTGTAAACTCTGTGATTCTTTGAAAATAAAGTGGAAAGGAAATTACTTTTGCATGAAAATACTTTCATTTTGTACGAGTAGTAGGAGAAAATCATGGGAACAACTCCGTGTTAGTATTTCAATTAAATTTTTATTTTTCATATTAATTATAGTTTATTCACTTTGTATCCCAGCTATAGCCCCCTCCCTCATTCCCTCCCAAATCCCTCTCCTTCCCTCATCTCCTCACTGCTCCTCTCCAAGTCGACTGATAGGTGAGGACCTTCTCCTCTTCTATCTGATCCAAGTTTATTGGGTCTGACAAGGACTGGCTGAGTTGTCTTCCTGGCTGCTGTTTCCCCCTCGGAGAGGGGTGGTCAAAGAGCCTGCCACTGAGTTCATATCAGAGACAGTCCCTGTTCCCCTTATTAGGGAACCCACTGGAAACTGAGCTGCCATGAGCTACATCTGAGCAGGGGCTCTATGTTGTATCCATGAATGGAACTTGGTTGGAGTATCAGTCCCAGGAAACCCCTCTGAGCCCAGATATTTTGGTTCTGTTGCTCTCCTTGTGGAGCTCCTGTCTTCTCCAGGTCTTACTATCTCCTCCTTATTTCAAGATTACCTGCCCAAATTTTGGTTAAGAGTCTCAGCATCTGCTTTGATACACCTCTGGGTAGAATCTTCCAAAGAACCCCTGTGGTAGGCTTTTATCCTGTTTCTTGTTTTCTCCTTTTGCCAGAAACTCAGTTTCTTTCTGAGTGAAGATTCATCATCTTACCCAGGGATCTCCTAGTTGTTTAGCTTCTTTAGGTGTACAGATTTTAGTATGTTTATCCTATATTATAGGTCTAGTATAAACTTGTAAGTGAGTATATACCATACCATGTGTGTCTTTATGCTTCTGTGACACCTCACTCAGGATGATCTTTTCTAGATCCCACCACTTACCTGTTGTTTCTGAGATACCTCCACTCAGGATGATGTTTTGTAGATCCCACCATTTACCTGTAAATTACATGATTTAATTGTTTTTAATTGCTGAGAAGTATTCCATTTTATTAATGCACCACGATTTCTGTATCCATTCCTCCACTGCGGGAAATCTGGGTTGTTTCCAGGTTCTGGCTATTGCCAGTAAAGCTGATACAAACATGGTTGAACAAATGTCTTTTTTGTGTACTTGAGCACATTTTGGATATATGCCTAGGAGTGCTATAGCTGGATCTTGAGGAAGCACTATTACTAATTGTCTGAGAATGCACCAGAGTGATTTTTCAAAGAGGTTGTACAAGTTTACATTCCCAACAGGCATGGTGGATGGTTCCCCTTTCTCCACATTCATTTCAGCATGCATTGTCTGTCACTGGAGTTTTTTATCTTAGCCATTTTGATGCATGTAAGTTGAAATCTCAGGGTTGTTTTGATGTTCATCTCCCTGATGACTAAGGACTTTTAACATTTCCTCAAGTGTTCCTCTGCCATTCTATATTCGTCTACAGAAAATTCTCTGCTGAGCCCTGTACTCCATTTTTAAATTGGATTACTTGATTTGTTGCTTTTTAACTTCTCTAATTTTTTAAATATTCTAGATATTAGCCCTCTGTCAGATACAGGGTGGGTGAAGCTCCTTTCCTAGTCTGTAGGCTGTCATTTTGTTCTGGTGAAAGTGTCCTTTGCTTTACAGAAGGTTTTCAGTTCCCTGAGGTCCCATTTATTGATTGTTGATCTTAGAGCCTGTGCTGTTGGTGTTCTGTTCAGAAGTTGTCTCTTGTGCCCATGAGTTCTAGGTTCTTCCCCACTTTTTCTTCTATCAGATTTAGTGTGTCTGGTTTTATTTTGAGATCTTTTGATCCCCTTGGAATTTAGCTTTGTGCAGGATGATAAATATGGATCTATTTGCATTTTCCTGCATGTAGACACCCAGTTAGACCAGCATCATTTGTTGAAGATGCTGTAGTTTTTCCAAAGAATGGTTTTGACTTCTTTGTCAACAATCAAGTACCCATAGGTTTATGGATTTATTTCTGGATCTTCTATTTAGTTCCATCGATCTACCATTCAGTTTCTATGCCAGTACCATATAGTGTTTATTACTAATGCTCTGTAGTGCAGCTTAAGATCAGGGTTGGAAATAGATACGTCCAAATGATCTGCTGTTGAACAGGATAATTTTTGCAAGTCTAGGTTTTGTTCGTTTGTTTGTATTTACATATGAAGTTGAAAATATTTTCTTTCAAAGACTGTAAATAATTGTGTTGGTATTTTGATGGAAATAGCATTGAATCTGTACATTGATTTTGGCAGGATGGCCATTTTCACTGTGTTAATCGTACCGATTGATGAGCATGGGAGATCTTTCCAACTTCTGATACTTTCTTCAATTTCTTTCTTCAGATACTTGAAGTTTTTTTTTTTTTTTTTTTTTCAAACAGGTCTTTCACTTGCTGGGTTAGAGTTATACCAAGGTACTTTATGTTATTACTGGCTATTGTTAAGGGTGTTGTTTCTTTTATTTCTTTCTCGGGCCTTTAGTCTTTGGTATACAGCAGGGCTTCTGATTTTTTTGAGTTAATTTTATATCCAGCCACATTGCTGAAGGTGTTTATCAGCTGAAGGAGTTCTCTGGTTGAATTTTTGGGGTCACTCATGTATACTATCATATCATCTGCAAATAGTGATACTTTGACTTCTTCCTTTCCAATTTGTATCCCCTTGATCTCCTTCAGTTGTCTTACTGCTCTAGCAAGGACTTCAGTTACTATGATGAAGAGAGATGGAGAGAGAGGGCAGCATTGCCTTGTCCCTGATTTCAGTGGGATTTATTTAAGTTTCATTCTGTTTAGTTTGATGTTCGCTATAGGCTTGCTATATATTGTCTTTACTATGTTCAGGTATGTGCCTTGTATCAGTGATCTCTCTAATACTTTAAACCTAAATGGATGTTGGATTTTGTCAAATGCCTTTTCAGCATCGAAGGAGATGATCATGTGTGTTTTTTGCTTTCAGTTTGTTGATATGGTGGATCACATTGATAGATTTCCATATATTGAACCACACCTGCCCCTGGGATGAAACCAACTTGATCATAGTAGATGATATCTTTGATGCGTTCTTGTATTCAGTTTGCAAGTATTTTGTTGAGTATTTTTGCATCAATGTTCATGAGGGAGATTGGCCTGAAATTCTCTTTCTTTGTTGGTTCTTTGTGAGGGTTAGGTACCAAGGTGACGGTGGCTTCATAGAATGAGTTTGGTAATGTTCCTTCTGTTTCTATTTTGTGGAATAGTTTCAAGAGTATTGGTGTTACCTCTTCTTTGAAGGTCTATTAGAATTCTGTGCTGAAACCATCTGGCCCTGGGCTTTTTTAAAAATCTATTTATTTATTTATTTATTTATTTATTTATTTATTTATTTATTTATTTATTTTTGTGGGGGAGACTTTTAATGACCACTTCCGTTTCCTTAGGTGATATTGGACTATTTAATTGATTTACCTGGTTTGATTCAGCTTTGCTAAATAGACTAGATCAAGAAAATTGCCCATTTCATTTAGATTTTTCAAATTTGGTGGCATATAGGCTTTTGAAGCAAGACCTAATTATTGTTTGGATTTCTTCAGTGTCTGTTGTTATGTTCCCTTTTTCTTTTCCGATTTTGTTGATTTGGATAGTGTCTATTTGCCGTTTAGTTAGTTTGGCTAAGGCTTTGTCTATCTTGTTGATTTTCTCTAAGAAACAGCTCTTGGTTTCATTGATTCTTTGAATTGTTTTATTTGTTTCTAATTTATTGATTTCAGCCATGAGTTCTATGATTTCCAGCCATCTACTCCTCTTTGGTGTACTGCTTCTCTTTTTTCTAGGGGTTTTAGGTGAGCCATTAAGTTGCTTGCATGAGATGTTTCAAATTTCTTACTGAAGGGACTTAGTGCTATGAACTTTCCTCTTAGCACTGCTGTCATCGTGTCCCATATATTTGGGTATGTTGTGATTTCATTTTCATTGAATTTTAAGAAGACTTTAATTTCTTTCTTTCTATCTTTCCAGACCCAACTGTCATTGAGTAGCAAGTTGTTCCGTTTCCATCTGTGTGTAGGTTTTTTTGTTATTTCTCTAGTTGTTGAGATCCAGCTTTTTTCCATGGTGGTCATATAAGATACATTGGATTATTTCAATCTTTTTCTATCCGCTGAGACTTGTTTTGTGACCAATATATGCTCTATTTTGCTGGTGGTTCCATGAGGTGCTGAGAAGAAGGTAAATTCTTTTGTGTTTGGGTGAAAGGTTCTGTAGATGTCTGTTAGGTCCATTTGATTCATGATCTCTGTTAAAGTCATTGTTTCTTTGTTTAATTTCTGTTTTGTTGATCTATCCTTTGTTGAGAGTGGGGTGTTGTAGTCTACCACTATTAATACGTGGGAATCTATGTGTGGTTTCAGTTTTATCAATGTTTCTTTTACACATGTGGGTGCTCTTGTGTTGGGGGCATAGGTGATCGGAATTGTTGTGTCTTCTTGGTGGAGTTTTCCTTTGGTCAATATGAAATGACCTTCCTCATCTCTTTTGATTAATTTTGGTTGAAAATCTATTTCATTAGATATTAGACTGGCTCCTCCTGCTTGATTCTTGTATCCATTTGCTTGGAAAACTGTCTTCCAGCCTTTTACTCTCAGGTAATATCTATTTTTGTGAATTAGGTATGTTTCATGTATGTAACAGATTGTTTAGTCTTTTTTATGTATTCATTCTGATAGTCTTTGTCTTTTTACTGGAGAGTTGAGTCCATTGATATTAAGGGAGATTAGTGACCAGTGGCTGTTAGATGCTTTGCTTTTGATGTTGGCTATGGTATTGTGTTTGTGTGTTTGGCTACTTTTAGTTTTGCTGTAGTGAGGTTATTTGTTTCCTGTGTTTTCCTGAATGTAGTTAGTTTTACTGGCTTCTATTTTTCCTTCTAGTATCTTCTATAATAGTGGATTTGTGGTAATCTGATTGGCCTGCTCGTTGGCCACTTTTGATGAGAACTGATAGACTAAGATCAGAAAGGAGAGGAGAACCTCCCCTATCAGTGGACTTGGGGAGTAGCATGCACGCAGAAAGGGAAGGGAGGGTGGGATCGGGAGGGGAGGAGGGAGGGGCTTATGGGGGGATACAAAATGAATAAAGTGTAAATAATAAAAAAATTTAAAAAAATAGTGGATTTGTGGGTAGGTATTGTTTGAATTTGATTTTGTCATTGAATATCTTGTTTACTCCATCTATGATGACTGAGAGTTTTGCTGGATATATTAGCCTGGGCTGACATCTGTGTTCTCTTAGGGTCTGCATTATATCTGTCCAGGCCCTTCTTGCTTTCATAGTCTCTGTTGGGAAGTCAGGTGTGATTCTTATGGGCTTGCCATTATGTTACTTGTTGTTTTCCCTCTTAGTATTTAGTATAAATATGGAATGCTTTAGGAATTTGTGTGTCATCTTTTCACAGGTGCCATGCTAATCTTCTTCTCTGTATCATTCCAATTTTAGTATATGTGTTGCTGAAGAGAGTACTATCTCTTTCTTAAAGTAGGGTAAATTTTCTTCTATGATTTTTCTCGAAGATATTTTCTGGACCTTGGAGACTGGAATCATCTTTTTCATCAATTCCTATTATTCTTAGATTTAGCCTTTTCATGGTGTCTTTGATTTCTTGGATGTTTTTGTGTTTGGGACTTTTCTGATTTTGCTTTTTCTTTGAGAGAGTATCAATTTCTGCAAGTGTATCTTCAGCACTGGAGATTCTCTCTTCCACCTCTTGTATTCTATTGGTGATACTTACCTTTGTGGTTCCTGATCTTCTCTCTAAGTTCTCTACATCAAGGGTTTTCTCTGTGTTTTTTTTATTCTAATTATGTTTTCATTCATTTCACCATTTCCTTCATCTCTTTGAATGTGGATTCCTGTCTTTCTATGATATCTCTATTTTTTGTTGTTCCTTTCCTCTCTATATACCACCAATTGTGCCTCTACTTGTGCCTCCATTTGTGTAGCTATTTCTTTGAGAGATTTGTTGATTTCCTCTTTATGTGCCTCTAATAACTGAATAAGCATAGCTTTAAAATAATTTTCCTGTGTTTCCAATGAATTGGAGTATGCATTGACTTTGTAGTTCGGTGGTGAAGCTATGATGTCCTAAGTTTTGTTGGATGTGTTCTTATGCCAACTTCTGGCCATCAGCTTATCTGTAACCTTCACTGATTGTTTCTGGAGTCTGTACTACAGAGTGGGTCCGTCTCTCTCTCTGGTGTCTCAAGTATTTTTCAAGGCCATGGGAGAGGTCCACTGGTTTGAGAGTGTGTATTGGTATTTATGCTGTACCTAAGGGAAGAAGATCTGCTGGCGCCGAAGCACAAATGCAGGCAAGCAAGCATGTGCATGGAAGTGTGCCTTAAAGGACAAGTTGTTAGTGAATGTAGATGCCTATAATGTGGACAGGGGTTATTATAAGCATAAGAGCAGCACTGTTCACAGGCACCATGAGCATGCACAGGTTTCTGGAATACCTCAATGGCTTACAGGCCTCTGGTATTCAGCTCTGTCTGGGCTCTAGGTGTTGTTTGCCTAGACTCGACTGGTTGAAACACAGAATAAGGGATTCAATGTTGAGGATGCTGTCCCAAGAATCTCTATGTTGCCCATAGTCGGTGTATGGGTGGGAGAGAAAAATTGTCTGGATGCTACCATAGAGGGGCTGTGGATCTGGAGCTCTGCAGGCACTCACTTGAAGGAACACTCACTCTCTAGCAGGTCTAATGGGAAAGCACGGGGGTCTCCCCTGTTCTCTACGATCAGATTTGGGCCTGCTGGGGCAAGTGCAGGAGTAGTCTGCTCAGTGTTGCTGCTGCCTCAGAAGTTAGGCTGTTAAAATGGTCCACAGGGAGTCCAGTCAGCTGCAGAACTGTAAGGCTGGTACAGATGCCTGCTGGGAAGAACTGGGGAGCCCATACAGTGGTCCATGCACCTGGGTGGCCCGGCAGACCTGGTGAACCTGGGTGTCTTGTACCACTGGGTGCCTGCCACTGAGGTACTGGGTGGCCGGTACAGTCACTGGCTGGGAGGCCCTGTGGGGCATACAGCTACTCTGGCTCTCAGGACCCAGAAGGGTGATAAACCTGGCAGCCATCGCTGAGGAACTAGGAGGAGGCTGGCCTCTTCTGACTCAGTCAGCGAGGAAGTTCTGTGTTATGAGCCATAGGTACTATGGGCTGCCTCTGGCAAGGAGGAGAGAGAACAGCCAGGGCTGAAGTGCAGGGGGGTTGAATGTTCTCCACTCTCTGTGCCCAGAGAAGTCAGTGGGTTACCTTGATCTAAATGGTCTCAGCTCACATGTTATGACCTCTGGCCAAGGAAGACTCAATGTCTATGTTCTGGGCTCAGCTTCTCCTCCACTCACCAATTTTGGAGTTTCAGATCCTCTGCTTCCCAGATATAGTACGCACTGGTCGCTGCCATCTTGGATTGGTCAGTGTTTGCATTCAAACTTACAGGTCTCTCTTCTTAGTTCAGGAGTCAGCGAGAATGTCTTAATGATGCAGAATCCAATATTACTCTCCATCTTGCCTGGAAAGCTGGTGAGCCTCCATTTCCTGAAGAAACAGGAAGACAAAACTTTCACATTGATACGGATGAGCCCTAATCTCTCTTTTTGTAGTGAGAAACTACGCTGAAAAAAAAAACAAGTCAAGGAAACTTTGTTCTTATTTGGGAACATGGTGTGTTTGGGAACACAGTTCAAGCATATTATAGTGTGGAAGACAAACTGGAAGGAACACGAAGCAGATGTTCACATCACATACACAACTGAGAAGTAGAGTGTGCAGAATGCTAGAGCTCAGGCCTCTTTCTCCATTTTATGGAGGTCAATATCCACATGCTGGGAACAGTCCTGCCCAGAGTTGAAATGTTTTTTTCTACATGAATTCAACTAACCAAGATGATACCTCTCAAACATTCCCAAAGGCTAACCTCCATATAGATATGCCCAGAGGCTTATTTTTTAGATGATTCTAGATTCTGCCAAATACACCATCCACTTTACAGTAATGTCAATAAAATGTCAATGAGGGAGTGGTATGTCATGAATCTCTTCCATTATGTTTTGTATATTTGGAACTAAAAAGAACCCTGTTGTTTTAAAATTGACAAGTATATGAGGTTATATTCTCTGAAATGTTTCAAAACAAGTGTGCATGCATACATAATTAGCATATAGCCTGCCTCAGTCCTTTATCATTTTTTGTGGTAATGAATTAAAATCATAAAGTAAAATTTAAATTTGTATAATTGATAAGTATAGTCACTTTAGCAACCAACGAGAAATGTTTAATGCTTCTGCTTATGGCATCCCACTCTTTGGTTTAGGCTCCTTTTCTTTTGAGTAATGATCCTCACCTAATGTCCTTTAGATCCTTTTACACATTCTCACAAAAACCAGCAGAGAATGAATGACCCTCCAAAAAGGGATTCTGCTCTAATGCTGTATCTTACAATGTACTGAGTGAAATGGTCCCTCAGGAAAGCCTTTGCAGTTGTGAGGAAAAGAAGCCTGATCAAAAGAAACAAAAATTCTCCATTCTCCTCCAGGCCTTTCTATTTCCCCTTTCTTTCATAAGATTCCCTGCACTCTGCCCAAAGTTTGGTTATGAGTCTCAGCATCTGCTTTATTACCCTTCTGGGTAGAGTATTTCAGAGACCCTCTGAGGGAGGGGGCTACGTTTGGAATACAAAGTGAATAAATTGTAATAAATTAAAAAAATTAAAAATACAATAAAAGAATGGCTGGGAAGTTTTAAAAGAAAATCAGTGAAGGGAGTTCAAGACCTATGTTTCATAGAAAAAAAATACATAAAAAATACATACATAGAAAAAAAATACAATGCTGCATTGTAGAAAAAGGACCTTATGAGAATTTGGGTTTCTGCTCTGCCTCACTGACCCAGTAACTTTCCCCGAGCTGACCAAGGGAAGACACTAGTTTAACACATGGATGTTGAGGGGCATTCCAGATCCAAAGGTCAGAACTGTTGTAACTTCAGAGAAACACACTGATCTCTACTCAAACCTTGATGTGTAAATAACATTTCACATAAATGCCTGGGATGAATTCCCCTTGAATAGTCAAATAGATTCAAATGAGAGTTCTGTCTGTGTGAACATCTTAATTTTCCACCCAAACATGCCCTTATGAATGATACCCACGCAGACGCTCCTGAGGAAGGAAGTTACTGTAAGAAAATAGCATTTCCTCCGACTTGACCAGGACTTTTGTTCAAGGTGTGGACTTACGTGGACTTGATGGCAACCCCAACCAAGAGTATGAAAGTACACTGTCACCAGCTTCCCCTTGTTTCGTGAGACAGTGCTGGTTTATCTGGTTCTCTGCTCCACATCCAGGCTGAGACTGCTGAGAGAGAAGCTGAGTGTCAGAGGTCCTAGAATCAGACCACGTGATCGTATTTCCAGATTAAGTGCTCATGAGCACATTTTCTGTCTTTAGGGTTGATGATGACTTTCAGACCATCACTCCTCACCTTTTACTTTGTATTGAAGGAAAATTAACAAAAACTACTGTTTTGCTAAAGGACTCTGATAAACAATAATGGGTTTAATTAAGAGGTTTTCAACCTGGACGCCCCAACCCTTTTGTTGGGGTTTGTATATTGATAAGTATGTAGTATCCTTCCCATCTCTAATGATTAGATTTGATTTGAAGTCTCATTTGTTAGATATTAAAAACTAAACAGTAATTCTCTGTTTAGTTTTTGTTGAACTTGATTTTTATTTTAAACGAACACACTTTATTTAGGGTTATTAAATGCTTTTAACTCCTTTCCAAGCCCTTGACACAGGGTAGGAGGAAAAGAAGGTTAGTGGGAACAGGAGGCAGAGTTCTCTCCTACTTCCCACAGAGTAGGTTCATGGGATCCTTTTGGGGGCAATACCAGTATCAGTTGTCCAGAAATATAGAAGTCCAGGTAACCAGAAAGTCAGGAAATAACAGCAGCAGCAGCAGGATGAACCAGCAGCAAACAGTCTTCCTCCAAGCAGCCATGCCTTCTGAGTTGTCATATTTATACTGCTCAAAGTCCTCAGAATTCAACTAATTCTACCTGGCAAACACTATGCTCTGCAGAAGACACTTAACAGGTACAGACAAACTAAAACCTCCTTGGAATTTTAACAAAAGCATGTTTACATATCTTACAACAAAACATAATAACTCATACAATAAGTTTTTGCTTCAATGACACATCTTATGGTAAAAGTAGGTGTTAAAATCTACTGTTACCAATGTATGAAGGTCAATATGTGATTTAAGTTATAGTAGCATTTATTTTACAAAGTTGGGTGACTTTGTGTTTGAGGCATAGAATTTAAAAATTGGAATGGTATTTTAGTGGGTTTGTACATTGATAAATATGTAGTATGGTATACTTCCAACAAGGAAACATTCCAGTGGATCAGTGGGACTCAGTTTGTATTTGGGGCATTTAGAAATTATTGTTTTAAAC